GAGGGGTCATGGTAGCTGCCCAAGCCCGCGCCTCAGCGCCTGACTCGCGTCTCCGCGCGCCTAAGCAGCTCGGCGCCGTCTCCAACCCACCAGGCCCACGCACCTGCCATGACTCGTACCTGCGACAAAACCAGGTCCAAAAGTGCAGGCATGAGTCTTCCGGCTCCTCGTGGGCACGGGCACTGACAGAGCTGACGCCCGAGTGATCCGAGGCACCCACTGTGCTCTGCCAGTCGCTCCGTGGTTTCCTTGGGGATTTCAGAATCCAGCACCCATGCGCCTGCGCCAGGATCTAAGGGAGGTGCCTTGTGCCCTGTGGTTCTCCCCCGTCGGCCTTCTCGCAGTTCCTTCTCGCCCTCTAGTGTTTCCTGCTGGGATGCCAGCTCAGAACCTCTCGGAGAGGAGAGTGATTTGCACATCTTTGTGAGTGCCATTGGAAATCCCATATCATGCCTTCTTGGGATGCACTTTTTAAAGAATATTTTTAGTTTCTTTGGAATACCAGTTTTACATTGCTGGTGGCAGTCAGAAACATTTGTAAACGCTGACACATTACCACTGCCCATGGTCTTTATGTTTCTCCACCTGAGGTTCTCCATCGGTAGATCTATTCGATTTTATTTTTATTTTTTTGTTGAAAAGTCAGATTTTACAGCGTAGAGACAGAAAGATCTTCCATTTGCTGGTTCTCATGTAACCGTTATTTAAAATTTTGGGTTGGTCTTATCCATTTTATATTTATTTACTTAATTATTGGCCAGGTTAAAGGGAAAAGGAGACAAAAGAAAATACCCTTCAGCAAGCCAGATCGGAAGTGCAACGCCTGGGGTTCTGACTGGTGCTCTTAAGGGATTCCAGACTTGCAGGTGGAACGTTGGCTTGTGCACTTGAACTCCGGCTCGCATGGGTTGTTTCTTACTTTTCTGTGCAACATTTACAGCCACGGCCCTCCCAGCACAAGCAACAGTTTTGTTCTTGATAAGCATCTCTGCGGATGACACACTCCACAGTTATTTGTACTCATGCACATAATACAATATTTGCAAAAAGGTCACCCAAGACAACCTCCTACTTAGAGGGGAAAAGCCTCATGCAAGGGATCGCAACAGTCGGAGCTGAGCTGATCCGAAGCGAGGAGCCAGGATCCAGGAGTGTCTTCCGGGTCTCTCACATGGGTGCAGGGTCCCAAGGCTTTAGGCCATCTTCTACTGCTTTCCCAGGCCACAAGCAGGGAGCTGGATGGAAAGTTGAGCAGGTAGGACATGAACCGGAATCTGTATGGGATCCAGGCACACTCAAGATGAGGATTTAGCCACTGAACCATCGTGCCGGGCCCACACAGCGTGGCCGTGTTCATCACATACTTTCTCGTGATAGGAAGCAGTGCTGACCTGGGGTGGGTCAAGTTCACATGGGAAAAGTCCTTCAAGTATGGATGTGAATAATTCCCCCACAGGCCACACGAGGGAGCCAAAGCACAGGTTATTATTACTATTTGAGAGACCGATTCACAGAGAGAATCTTCCATCCTCTGGCTCACTTCCAAAATGGCTGCAATGGCTGGAACTGGGACAATCTAAAGTCAAGAGCCAGATGTTTATTCCTGTTGTCCCACAAGGGTTCAGGAGCCCAAGGGCTTAGGCCATCCTCTACTGCTTTTCCAGGCCATGAGCAGGGAGCTGGGAGGAAAGTCGAGCAACTGGAGCAACTGGGATTCGAACTGCCACCCGTAGGAGATCTCAGCACTTGAGGGAGAGGATTAGCCACTCCTCACTCACCCAACACCTTGAAGTTTTTTTAGTTTCAATCTAGGTAATTAGGTGAAAGTCAGCCCTCTTCTGTGAGGCAGGCTTAGCCCTGCCGCTTCTCATAACCGCTAACATTGTTGATGCCAGCAAAACTTCCTACTGGGGCTGGGAGGCGGGCTTCCACCCACCTCAGGTCCCCCTGCCTGGGTCAGATGACCCAGGTGTTTTCCACCTGCACATGGACGGACGACAGGAGGAAACTGTCCATGGGACGGCCCCCTGCTTGCGCACAGAGAGCACCTGGTGGGTTCAGCCAGCCCAGAAACCCTGCCTACAGACACCCGACTGGGCACTCAAAGATGGAGCCACACCAGCTGGGTGCACTGAGGGCTGGGGGCTTCCCTGAGGGGCTCTGAGTTCCATGGGGGAACCCGACAAAGCAACAGTGGCCCTCTCAGGGCGTCTGTGAAAGACAGTATCAATGTCCTGTGCACAAAACCACTTCAGGGACTCAGCCAATGAGACAATTAAGCATGCGTAGGAAGGCTGCGATGCAGGACAGCCAGGGTCCAGGGCTTGAGTGAGTCCTTGGGACCAGACTGCTGCATCTTCATGTTTTTAAATCAATACAAAAGGGCCCAGTACAATGGCTCAGTCGCTAAATTCTCACCCTGCACATACCAGGATCCCATATGGGCACCAGTTCATGTCTCAGCTGTTCCATTTCCCATCCAGCTTGTGGCCTGGGAAAGCAGTTGAGGATGACCCAAAGCCTTGGGACCCTGCACCCACATGGGAGACTCAGAAGAAACTCCTGGCTCCTGATCGGCTCAGCTCTGGTCGTTGTCGTTGTGGCCACTTGGGGAGTGAACCAGAGAATGGAAGATCTCTCTCTGTCTTCCCTTCTCTCTGTAAATCTGACTTTCCAAAATAAATATATGCATCTCTTAAAATTAATAAGTAAGTCAACCCAAATTAGCGCTGCTCCCAGAACTAAGAATCACACCACCAGGAGCAAACTGCCCTCTGAGCGGTGACCTGTCACCTGGCCAGCAAGCATCAGGTGGCTGCCTGCACCTGGAGGGCCCTGTGTCCCACTGGACTGGACAGGACAGGACCCCAGCGTCCCCAGCCTGAAGCCAAGCATCAGAGTGGAAACCCCAAAGGATGGAAGTTTCAGGGAGTTGCTGAACATCATACTCAGTAGGTGACAAGGACGGTGGACGGGCCTTGAAGAAGAGCGCAGGATCCCCTCCCCGCCCCCCAAGTAACCCCTAGGGGTTGTCCCCTGCACCCTCGGCCACCCCACCCCATCATCCCTCTCTGAGCACGGCTCCACAAGGGGCCCCTATAGCCCCTGGACGCAGCACAGCTGTCGGGACCTCCACTGTCAGGGAGGGTCACATTGACCTTGCCACTTGACCAGCATGAGCTGGATCAGGAAAGCGGACATGTGGAATGCTGGGCATGGAGAGGTTGGAACCCAGCAGGGCGTCCCTGGGGAGAGCTGCCCATGCCAAGGAGTCCCAGAGAGAGGCTGAGGTGGGTGTGGTCAGAGGAGTCAGGATGGGGCGCTCCCTCATGAGAGAGAAGAGCTGGACATGACCTCCAGTCTCCTCAGGCCCGACGTGGGTGGGCAACCTGAGGAGATCTGGATGAAGCCCTAGGCTCCTGGCACCTGCCCAGCCCAGCTGTTGGAACCATTTGGAAAGGGGATAATGGATAGAAGGGTCTCTCTCTCTCTCTCTATCACTCTGTCTTTCAGATAAATTATTCAACCTTTACAGCCCCCCAAAAGAATTTACTAAGCTATCCAGAATATACAAAATACAATTTATATGTGTTTTATAATTCTTTGGGGGCCTGTATGCAGATGCATAGAACTTTCCAGAAAGCACTGAGTACAGTTACAAGCACATTCTGCACCCAGAACTCCATGGCGGAGTCCAGGAAAGGCATTTCCAGTAATCAGCTCCTCAGACCTGGGCGTTTCCAGGGCAAGTCGAGGGCCAGGGTGGCCACAGGCGCCTCCCCTGAGGTCCCCCATCCTCATGGTCTCCCAGCATGGCTCTGATATGAGGCCCTCACTCCAGTAGCTTTAAACTCAGCCCATGGGCCCCCAAAGTTCTAACCACAGTCACTTCAATGCTGAGTGTTCTGGGGCACACTGGGCTTAGGCGGAGGGCATGTGGAAATGGGGGGCTTCAGCCTTCCTCCCCTAACTGAGCCTGGGTTCAAAGTCCCTCCTCCCCAAACTCCTACCAAGGAAAGGAGCCAGAGAGCTGGCAGTGCCCCTGTTAGGCCTGGCTCCTGCTTCCCATCCCAAGAGCTGAACCTGCGGCCCCCCTCTGCTCCCTCCCCTACTCCCATCTTCTCGTCCTCACTCCAGCTCTCAAGAGATATTCCCCAGTTTAACCCCAGCCTGGCAAGAAGTAGCTCTGGGAAAACTGGCAAAAACCCCATGCCGTGAGGGGTGGAAAAGGGGAGCTCCCAGCCTGGCCCTGCCCTGCCCCTCCAGCCTCTAGGACTGTCCCTCCTGGTGAGGATGATCTGGCTTGCTCTTTCATGCTGTTACTTAAAAACAATATTCTTTATTTTTAAATATTTTTAAAGGAAATTTTACAGAGAGAAGGAGAGACTGAGAGAAAGATCTTCCATCTGCTGATTCACTCCCCGAATGGCTACAACAGCCAGAATTGAGGTGATCCGAAGCCAGGAGCTTCTTTCGGGTGCTCCCACATGGGAGCAAGGGCTCAAAGAATTGAGCCATCCTCCACTGCTTTCCCAGGCCAGCTGGGTTGGAAGTGGAGCAGCCAGGACCCGAACCGACGCTCTTGTGGGATGCTGGCATTTGCGGGTGGGTGGTTAGCCTTTGTGTGAGCCACTGCACCGATCCCAACATGATTTTCTTTCCACACCTAAGGGACAGAGAAACACCAGGGGTCACCTGGGGTGGGGAGTCTCTGAGAGGATCAGGCAAGACACTGGCTTGGCGCTGAAGTTCCTCCCAGCTCATGGTTAGTGTGACACCACCCCCCAACCAAACAAGGACCTCAGGACCCTCCCCAACTCCCAGCTCCCAGATAACAACACAAACTATGCTGCTTCTACAAAAGGCCTGTGCTTTATTCCCGAGGGCAGAAGGCAGGGCCTGGGGCCACCAGGACACCATGCTTGTGCACATGGGCTTGGAGGGCTGGTGTGGGTGGTCAGGGCCCCCAGGGACTAGTCATCCATAAAAGAACCACTCCCCTACTCGCAGCCATGCTTGTTATAGGCAAAGGGCAGGATCTTGCCCTAGCAGGTGCAGGCTGAGGTCAGAGGGGACCAAATGAGGAAGGAATCGGGGCATAGCATTTCCATGTCCATTACCTGCTCCTGTCCCTTGTCTCAGGCGCTATGACTTGGCTGAGGTTTTAGACTGCAGAAAGAGACATGTATAAGCAAGAAAGGGGCAAAGCCATGGGGCTTGCAAAAGAGGTGCAGGGAGTTGGGGAGGGAGACTTCAGAGAGAGTGGGGCTGGCAGAGGCTAGGGGAGGGGAGGGCTCCCGGCTGGCCCCACTGCCCTGCAGCCCCATCACACCAAGCCAGGCCCTCACCGGACAGAGTCGGTCTTCTGGGGCTATGCTCGCCTGGCAGTCCTGGCCCCTTGGCTTGACGATGAGCAAGTTGTGCAAAGTGTGCGGGGCGCAGCACTGCTCCTCACAGACCTTGTAGATGCATTCCCCGCAGCCCTGGGTCCTGTTCCAGGGCACCACAGCATCATCGTGGCAGCATTGCTGCAGAGGGTCGAAGAATTTGTCTCCACACTTCTGGTATGGCTGGCACAGCAGCAGGTGGCCCTTCGTGGGGGGTGCTGTGGGACACACAGCGGGTGCAACATGGAGAAGCAGTGGTGGCAGCTGGGTCCCAAGCCTACCCCCACCGCCCCTGGCCCTCCTGGCTCACCTGTGGTTCGGTGGGGACAGAGGACCATGAAAAGGAGGTAGAGAGTGGCCGAGGTAACTGTGGGGAGCAAGGGTGAGGTGAGCTGCTGGGCAGTCTGGGGTGGTTAGGGCCCGAGGCGGGGGTCTCTGTGTCCTAACTGAGGTTCAGGGTGGGATCTGGGCTCTCTGGAGTCGAGTGCAAGAGGACAGGGGCAGCGGAGCTGGTGGGTAGGGCTTTTGGGGAAAATGGGGTGGAGGGCTACAGAAGGGAAGGAGGAAGAGGATGAAGCACATGCCCAGCCAGGTAGGGGGGGAGAGGGAGGGTCAGGCTGAGAAGGAAGCTGGAACAACAAGGCTGAGTGTTAGGTAGGAGGCAGAGAGGGTGCTGAGAGCAGGAGGGCCTGGGGTCTTTGCAAGGGCTTGGGTCAGCCTGGGGCAGGATGAGGCCAAGGGGACAAGAGGGGTTGTGCGTCATTGCCTGAGTGATGGCTGAGATGGGGGGTGGGGCTCAGGTGGGTTCAGGACTCTGTCCCTTACCTAGGGTGCAGCGGCAGGGTGCCATGGCTGGGACTGGCGGCTGAGGAGGAGGTGCTGGGTGACCTGCATCTCAACAGGTGCTTTTATCCACAGACGAGCTGGTGACGTCACGGAATCTCGGGCTGTATAACCTGCAGAGACACGCGGGGGCCCTGGGGCAGGACGGTGTGTCTTGCTGTGGAGCAGAAAGCTCAGAATCAGCCAGAGTGTGAAGAGAGAACCAGAATTTTTCCACCCCTCAACCCCCCTCCAGTCCTGAAACAACGTGGGCCACAGCAGGGCAGGAACCAGCTTGCACTAGCTGCTCCCTCAACGGCAGCTCACAATCTAGCTCAGTTCTTGCTTTACTGGAAAGACAGATTTACAGAGAGAGGAGATACAGAAAGAAGATCTTCCATCCATTGGTTCACTCCCCAAATGACCACAACAGCTGCAGTTGGACCGGTCTGAGGCCAGGAGCTCAGAGCTTCCTGTGTGTCTCCCGTGTGGGTGCAGAAGTCCAAACACTTGGGCCATCCTCCACTGCTCTCAAATAGGGATTTGGATCAGAAATGAAGCATCAGGCCTGGCACAATAGCCTAGTGGCTAAAGTCCTCAATTTGCATGCGTCGGGATCCCAAAAGAGCACTGGTTCGGGTCCTGGTAACCCCACTTCCCATCCAGCTCCCTGTTTGTGCCCTGGGAAAGCAGGAGAAATTCTGCAGCCATCGTCAGCATCTTAGACGCATCCATCCCTCAGATGTGTATATACGGGGTCATGGAGGTGGACTGGTCGCTGAGAAGGGTCACCTCAATGCTGGGATACGATGAGAAAGGGAGCTGCATAGGAGAGGGCAGTTTGGGTGAGGACGTGGGGGTACAGGGGCACTGCACTGAGAGGGACAAAAAGCATGCGCAAGGGGACACGTCAGGGCTGTGAAAGGAGCTCCTCTTCAAGCTGCCAGCCGCCGAGAATCCCTGCCCCATGTCTCTTCTCATCCAGGGGACCCTTAACCCTCACACACCAGCCCCTCCCATCCCATCCAGAGCCCAGGCCCAGTCCCAGGCTGCTCAGTGACCTGTCCCGTGGCAGGCACCAAAGCAGTGCCACTGACCAGGGCAGCAGGAACAGAGTGGCCCCATCCTGGCATGAGGAAGCCATGGCAGGAGCCAGGATTCAACAGAACATCTCAGTCACTCCAGGGTGTCCATGGTGTGGGCTCCAGGGTGCGCAGTTCCCAGCCAGAATTAAGGATGGCAGTGGATGCAGGAATCTCAGCCCCAGGGCCACTGATAACCTGCTCTGTGCCCCCTGCAGGGCACCGCACCTGCCCTCTGCCCACACACAGCTGACACAGGGGTCCTACTCCTATGCTGTCACCTGCCACATAGGTGAGGCCCTGCATCCAGGACCAACAGTCATCAAATATCTCAGGGAATCTCAGAGCACCACTACACACCCAGGCATGGGGGCACTCCGGCAGCAAGGACCCCCACACTGCTGGCAGAGGGGAAGCTGATTGTGCCGGTTGAGGAAGAACTCAGCAGAGAATGGGACTTCCTGCACCCAAGGCAGCGATGTCACCCGGGCCACCTGCCTGTCACCCCAGGGCTCCTACTGATGTCATCTCGACTTTCTCACCCTGAGGCACAGCCCATGCACTTGGGACTCTGCTAGGCTGTGGAGTCTGCCTCCACGGCCAAGAGCCAAGGCACAGCTGCCCCATCACGTCTCCCCAGGAAGGTTTCTGTTCTCGGGCTCTTGGGCCCAGGCAGATTTGAGACTCTTGCCTGGGGCCATGGCCAGGGCCTGCCACCTCTGCAGATGGGAACAGGGCAAGGCTGGGCCTGACGCAACATCGGAGAAAGAGAGAGACGCCCTTGGCCCCAGACAGGCTCTTGGCCCAGTTGTGAGAGTGGAGCCGGGCCACCAGCCCAGGGCTCCTGTGCTATATCAAGGCTGCTGAGTCATACCTAGTCATACCAGGGCGAGGAAGTAGAGGGAAACTCAGGGTCCCTCCTGCCGAGGACAGGGAGTCTTTGGGGCAGGGGGCAAGGGTGAGGGAATAGGAGGCCCAGGACAGGCTTCCCTAAAACCCAAGAGCCCCGACTCAGCTGCACGAGGTTTGAGGCTCAGAGGGTCCTAAATCCAGTCCTGCCCCTAACCGTTCTCATGGTGCTACAAAGCCTTCAGACACAGCACTGTCCAGTGCCACTCTTTGCCCCTCTGTGGCCACCTCTGGTGCCAATTCCGCGGGGCAACTGGCTTCCATGTGAGAGACTGGCCTGAGACAAAGCCCCCAGTTGCACTTGCTGCAGCTGACACTGGTCCATCAGCCTCTAACAGAGTTACGTTTCTGGTCCCAGTATGGTGGCCTGGTGGCTTGAGGTCCTAACCTTGGATGCACTGGGATCCCATAGGGACGCTGGTTCTAATCCCCGGCAGCTCCATTCCCCATCCAGCTCCCTGCTTGTGGCCTGGGAAAGCAGTCAAGGATGGCCCAAAGCCTTGGGACCCTGCACCTGCGTGAGAGGCCAGGAGGAAGTTCCTGGCTCCTGGCTTTGGACTGGCGCAGCACTGGCTGTTGCGGCCACTTGGGGAGTGGCTCATCGGATGGAAGATCTTCCTCTCTGTCTCTCCTCCTCGCTGTGTATCTGACTTTGCAATAAAAATAAATAAATAAATCTCTTTTTTTGCTGTTTAAAGTTATGTTCCTAAAAAGGAGATGTGAGATGCCAACTGCAAATGCTCCTGGCTGTAATTCTTCAGCTCTGAATGTAACCCAGACCCTGGCCAAGGACCCCATGCTGCTCAGTGGGTCCAGCTGCTCAGAAGCCCAGGGTCCTGAGCTGCCATCCAGGGGCACCCAACAGCTGCTCAGGAGAGCCCTGCCCACTGACAGCCATAGAGGAGACCCAGGTGGGAGTTTCCCGGCCTGGGGAGTGAACCCTGGGATACGATACAGGCATGTCTTATCTCTACATGATCATTTCCTGTCCCACATACTGGCTCTTTTCCTTGGAAAGCAGCACCAGGAGTCGTCCTCCTGGCAGCTCAGGGCTGGGACTCCTGCAGGCCCAGGGAGCCCCGCCCAGGTCCCAGGCAGGAATGTGCCTGAGAATGTCAGGTATGTGAGGGGAGGGGCCTCAAAGTGAGATCTCAGCACTTGAGCCTGCTCCCTGCACAGTCTGGTTTCAAGCTGAGCCCTGCCCTGCTCTGGTCCTGTCCTCCTCCAATACAGGGAGGGGAGGCCACCACATCACACAGGGGCCTTGCCTTCACGAGAGAAGCCAAGGAACCCGCTGGATTGTGACCCAGGATCCAAGTGGCACTCCTGCAGCCCCTGTGGCCTCTCAGAGGTCAGGACCAGACGTGGACACGATATGACACTGTAGAAACACCCTGTCACCCCACAGCTAGGCTACTGAGAGCTGCCGTCCATCCAGGACCCTGGCTGCAAGGCCCTCTGGGAGACACAAGCTGAGGCTTCCAGCTTCTGTAGACAGGAAGGCCCTGAAGGGGGTGTTCCAAGTGCCACCCACCCTGCCCTGCACACCCCCATGGCTTCCCTTCACCCTACACATTACACCCCTAAGTCCCTCTGCCTCTCCCATCCACCTCACCACTCTGCATCCTTCACACTACAGTCTCAATCTCACTCCTCAGTCCCTGTCTTCCCGTGTGTAGGCAAGACCATGGCCAGACACCTGTTCATCCTGCACCTGTCCAGCCCCTATGGCCGGTCTGAGTGGCTTTGCTGTGGTGCCCACACTGGGCATTAGGGGCTGCTGTGGATTAGATCCAGGAGGGAAGCTTCCCTCTGGTGGTCTGATTGATGCAGGGTTTTGCATTCTGTGGCATGTGAACAAGTAGTTCAGCACCAGGGCCGTGGACAGCTCCTGCTGGCTGTGTCCCCTCTTCTCACTCCATGACTTAGATGGTTGCTTTGTGTGTGTATGTGTGTGTGTGTGTGTGAGAGAGAGAGAGAGAGAGAGAGAACATCTAGAAAGTGACACCTTGTGTCTGGGTTCTTCA